ACAACATCCAAATTGTTTTTATCAAATAATTTATTTTCCAAGCAATTCGATATTTGTGGACATATGCTCTACTGAAATTCTAGTGACAATATCCAGGCCACTGGTCCCTGTGATGTAGATATAATTTAGAGATGACGACACACTCGTTTAAGTGAGTCGCTCAACTTTGGGGAGGGACCAAATTTAATGACAAATTACCAAAGATGTGACCTAATTACAATGGGGAAATATGTATTAAATGACTGTCATTTTATTAAAGAATAAACACTTTTTTAATTGAATTACACTGACATTTTAGATAAAATGTACTTCTCCTGCCAAATTTGGGGCAAATTCTTTCCCCTGATATAAAGCTGCTCCAGCAACACCCTGATACTTGCCTCCTTGTAGCACTGAAGTTAAGAATGTGTGAAGCTAAAGCTATACATTCACTGCCCCATAACAGAGATACAGTCAGAAGTATTCTAGATTTATGAATTTACTTCTGAATTCATCTGAGAAGTTTGGTGTAGATGTCATGCTCCCTAGACTTGTATTTGGGAAGTATCTGATACAAATCTCAGCCGAATTACCAGCCATCTTTACTGTGATTTTTCATGATTTTCCTCAGTCTCTTCAGATGAATGCCTTGGTTTATGTGTAGACATTTACATAAAATGTAATAGTGTGCTGTTTAAGTATGTGCCTATCTTACTGTGTTTATATGTGTGAAATTATTCCTATATGTCCATAACAGCACTTTCATCTTTGAATTTTTGCTCTTCCAAATCAAATATAAATAGCAGAATGAAAGAGAAGTTAACAGTGTAAAAACATACATACACAGGACATAGCCATTTATTAGCATAAGATTTATCTGGAAACCCAAATTTCACCTTATTATTTCACAAAATCATGGTTATTTATATTATTTACTATAAAGGTAATGTGGAAAGTGGAGCCCATTTGTGAAATACTAAGGTCTATGAAGAAGTTAGATAATTCTTATACAGATATTGGTGGAAAACAGAAAGAAACAGTCTGTATTGCAAAGAGTGTGCATATTTAAATTAAATCTGTATGATAAGGAAATAACATGGATCACATCACATTAGAACACAAAAAACAATCAAAATTGTTTTATTTATATAGGTGCACCAAAAATTCAACACCCCCTAACTCGTGAACATACAGCAGAATACATTCAACTTACAACATTCCTAGACAAATACTGCACATGGAATATCACAACATGGTCACTTTATAATGTACCTCCAAAATTTGTACAAAATTAAAATACAATGAACATAATCATAAAACTTCCTTCACAACTGGAATTTACCAACTAATTTCCCATCAGTAAGAATCTACCTCTTAAAACAGCATAACTCAAAGAAGCTGCAGCACGTACTAACAATTACACAACATGAATTATGATAAATGTAATATTATAAACATGCTGCCGGGAGTCAAATGGTATAATGACAGAGACCACCAATAATAATAAAACATTGATACAGTATTGGTTATAGTTTAGGATCTACTCTTAAATGCTGCTGTACAATATTGCTATGAGGTGCATCAGCAGTGGCCAAGCTGATATGATCACTAGCCAGCACTTTGTCATGTCTTGGTCTCTGGCTACCAACTGCATTTTGCAACCTTGCTAGACATACCACCTAACTAAAAGGGGCTTGTTACTCTATTTATAATATCAAATGTAGGGTTCTTAAAAGACATTGACATTTGAACTTGTTCTGATCATCACGTTTCTTGGTCTAATGATTTTACAGCAAAATGATGGTATTTCTTAAATACTTTATCAATTAAAAGATACATTAATGGACAAAGTGTTTTTGACACACAAATGCTGAATTGTAAAGATGCATATCATCTGAGTAGAATTTAAGGTTATGGTGGCGAGTATGAATATGGATGTCCTCTTGGTTGTTGTGCCATAGTCTGGTAGACATTTACCTATGTTTCAAAGGTCCTTGCTGCCATTGTCATCATCTTGATGATGGTAGCAAGGACCTCTGAAACATCGGTAATTTTTTCCAGACCACATGGCACTACAATCCAGAAGACAGCCATCTTCACGACTTCCGAGTTGAATAAAAATCAGCAAATGATACAATATAGTATTTATATTCAGGTTTTCATGAGGGATTATAGGTAAACACTGACAAATTAACTCCATGGAGCAGAATATTTTGTGATAATCTAATAGTCACTCAGCTAATCTAGAAATTCCCTGCTTTTTATGGAACCCAAAGCTTAGCATTACCATGTTCACAGAAGCCTGCCACTGGATCGTATCATCAGCCATATAAAAGCAGTCCACAGCCTTACACTCTGTTAGTTTATCCTCCCATGTATGCCTAAGCCTATGGAGTTGTTTTTCCTTCTTGGATAATCATTGTCATATGATTAAAATACAGGATAAGTTACAGTTCCAAGTTTCTTAGACTGTCCTATCTACAGTTATGTTCTAGACTATTGCTGATTTAATTATTTCTCTTGCACAAGACACAAGAATTGTTCTATTTACCTTAAACGGCTCAGACAAAAAGTTGTTTAAATCAGGTCCAGTGTAAGTTTGTCCACCGCAAATCCCATGTCGAACAACTATGATTATGTCCAGGGGCAGGAGACTTCTGTTCTAACCACAAGATCACCACATGAACGGTCAGAACTAGAGAAGACTGATTTGAATAGTTATACTGTCTTGCACAGTTGTGAGTCGAGGGTCCAAAAGGGAGTAACCAGTGTGGTATGTCATGACCTTTGTAAGAACCCTACAGCTGTGAGAAAACAAAAGGATACAAACCTCTTCACAATGTTCAGTGAAATTCAAAATCTGGGTGTAGGTCTAGACTTATTCAATCATGTCTACTTAGTGGCAGTGAAAAAATGGTCCACAAAAGGAATATTATTTTTATGGACAAGTGAGGATACAATAAACTACTACATTGTGAAGGAAACCTTCCTATATGAGCTTCCAACATCACACTACAAAATATGTTGCAGCATACATGTGTTCATTTAACATTAAACCAAACATAATTATGACTCAACACAACCCTGTCTAAATTCTATTCCAAGGTATAAATCAGATAAACTTAACAAATATATGAACTTCAACAATAAGACAGGCCATTTGATATGCAGTGTTTAGAGTACATCAGAATTTCTTAATGGTTCTGCCCCTTTGATTCACAATGTCTGAAGCAATCTACAGCTTCATGACTGCAAACAGACAATTTTCTGAGCATGTTCCGAAATCTAAATCTGCTGAGGCCACATTCATGAATAAAAAGTCTGTCATGGACGTTCCAACATATATATGGAGGTTCAATCATTGGACATGAAGAGAAATAGGTACTGCACTTATTTTCTTAAAATGTATCCCAATATTAGAACAAAAATTGATAACTCCTTAAATGTAGTTATTAATTTAGTTAATGCTGAAAATAGCTTGTGGTCATCACATTTTAAAATCTCTGCTTTGAGGAATGCAAGGCATTGTTCAGGGGAATAGGGCACTGGGATGTTACAATAATAATACAGATGGTCTTACTGGTTTATCTACAGACACTGCATGTAGCCTTCTGTTTACATAATTTCTCTGAAAACTAATTTTTTAGCATCAATACAACTTATTTTATATTTTGGTATCTCTGTGCTTTAATCACATTAGCTCTAAAATGGCCATTTCACTAATTTCCACATTAGAATGTCTAAATGAATAATTATTACATTTAAAATTTGATTAATGCTGTTGAGTAAAAGACAATGTTATGGAATTATAATTCATTACATATGAATGGCTAAAACTGAAATTTTTTTAGTAAAAATTGATTTCCCCCTTTCAAATTATGAGAGAGCAATGTAAATTATTAATTCTAAACTATAAAACTGTATTAATGAGACTTTCATCAATAAAATTACAACAGCCATAACCTCAACAATAACAGGGAACAGCCATTACTACAAAGTATATCTGAATCAGTTACTGAAGGTATCATGCTTTTTTAACCCATCATGGTGGTTTATAATCTCATACATTACTTTGTAATTCAGTTTCAAAGAGCATAACAATATTGAGCATCAATTTACAACATACACTAGCAATATTAGTGATAAGGAATGTGCAATGCACAGGACTAAAGTTCAGAATCACAATATTATTATCCCTTCAGGGCTCCAGTATGTACTACCCATAAGAAAATTTATCAACTGTATGGGATTATAGACAAAACTGGAAAACATGGCCAGTAAAGGTCTAAATACGTTTAAGCATACTGAAATAAATATTCACCAAAATAAATATTGTATTTTGTAACAGAAGATACACTAAAACTTTTATCCAAGCCATAAATAAAAAATTCATGCAACATGTATGCCACACTGTTAACAGGCAGTACACATTTTCAGTTTCCTTCCTTGCTATCATTTTTACTGTTGCATATGTCCATTACAGTACTCGGACATATACTAGACAGTTTGACTTTATTTTTCCCGTCCGTTACAGCCAAGTTCCCTTGCAGATAAATTTCAGACAGTGCAAAGATATTAACACAAAACATATTGAATCACACCAACTTCTGTTAACCCATAATTTTTTTTTTCCAGTCATATATAGCCTGAGTTACTGACAGCATCATTAGTAAACCCAAAACTTACATTTGTTTCAATTTATTCTTCATATAGTTCTCTTGTCCAGTAGTGGTGTGTTGGTTACCAAGTTCTGCAGGTATGATTTTTACAAAGACACCTTCATTGCTTGTATTGATATACTGAACTTTGCAATTACCTAGAGAATAATGCTCAGTATGTCATGGAAGAATATGGTACAGAAATTAAAGTTTATTACATCTTAAGTGCATTTCTGGAGTCCTGATTCTGGGGGAATATACTATGTACAATCGCAGAGTAACACAGTAAAAACTGATAATTGTTTCTCTTGCCAATTTTTGGCCCTTGATAACACTTCAAAGTATTTGATACAGATGTATGATCTATAGCTTTCATGGTGACTAAATTCAACGAAGTCTTCTAGGAAAATCAGCCAAGTCAGGCGGTTGCACAAAACTTAAATTTCGAGAACAGTCCGGACCTCATCAGATCCCTGACAAAGACTTTATTGAATTTGATACAGATCATTAATTATAAATTAAACTTTCTTTATTTGATGCATTTAATAACATTGAAACAAATGTTTTGTGGCCATTATATTCAAGTTGTGGAGACAGATGTCTGCTGCATATTTAATGAGAACACCTAGGACAAATGGGTGCAACAATAGGAAAGGGAAATTCTCTTTCTCTCCTCTTATAAGTTTCTATGTGGTCTTGTTGCATTCCAGCTTACTGCCAATATCTATCCTTCCCACTGCTACACACAATTAACATGTTTTCATGCTACTTTATCAACTCTGAGCTGAAAATATTTATATACATTTGTGCTTCTTATACAGCTTACAAAAATAATCCATCTTCATGGCACCTCCTGAGCTGGTTATTGCACTTGGTTTACATCTTCCCCCATGTTGGAACAGGATATGTGAGTGGAAGTTACAGCTTTGGGGAAACTTGAGACATTTCTATTGAAAACAGACAGTCCTTGGAAGTACTCTAGTCTGCATCTGTTTTGTCTCAACAAAACAGAAAGCAAACTGTGAAAGTAATTTGTTACTGATGAACACAGCTGCACAAATTAAACAATTCAGGCCTAACCCCTTGTTGTGCTTAGTGAATAAAGCATTTGTCCAAATATAATGTTTACAGCCTCCCCCAAAAAATCAACTCCATATCATAGTTATGCACACTTTTTACAGACAACTAGTAAAATATCTAACAATTGAAGATGTATAACTATAATGCATAGTAAAGTCTCTGGGAGGCACAGAGGAAAGAGATGCATATTACATGTAGGCGAATATGGCATGGTATTTGAGATATATTAACTAGTTTTGTTTACCCATTTCAATTTCATAACTTATATCTCACTTGTGCAATACATCCTAGAAGACAGTAAAGTGACACAATACAGTATGAGATTTTCATACTATCATTAAATAAAAAATAAATATATAAACAAATAAAATAGTTATCAAATTACCCTTAGCATGCCACCAAATAGATAAAATCAACGAGTTGGATTATGCTTGGTTGCACACAATATGATGTAGATACTGATTTCAGGCTGGTCTTACTCTTGTATGTAATTTAAAATGTAAGTTAAGAGATAGCAAAACAATGCAATGTATTTATAATCAATTTTTCATATTTACTTTGAGCACAGCTGTATCGTCTGATTGAAATGTTATTGAAGGTTGGTAATCCTTACATAGTGAGAAAGTTAAACAGGGCAATAACCTTAAGGTTCATTTTAATTTTAACAAAAAAATTATTTTTTCTTTATAAAGTTTTAATTCCAAAGGATTTTTGTGGTAATTTTATAATCCATGAAAAATGTAATTTCCTTCACATGAAGTACTGATTGCTTGCAGAAACTACATCCATATGTTGGAATTTAACTCCTAATATCGATAAGGCTCAGAGTGAAAGTGTGGGACGTCTTAAACTTGTTGCAGCTTTCAATTTTAAACTGGACAACATGGGAATGCTAGGCTTCTGTGTATTGTTTGACATGCGCAACTCTGTCATCAGTTTGTGTCATTTACAAGGAAGTGCCTTTACATCATGCACATATTGACTGATGGGGACAACATACAGTGACAAGCAACAACACACAGGTAGACACGAGGTTTCATTCAGCTCATTCGTCTTTCTTCGTCCCTCGAGCTCTCCAGGCAACTACCAAGTTCGAAGCAAAGTACAATGAGAACAGGTGAACCTGAATGGCCAACAAGATGAATGCATACCACAGTAGACCATATGGATAACCCTAGAAAAGGAAGTTCATAGCATTACTGTGATGTTTCCAACCTCATAACCTATTTATTTTATCATGTACTACTAACCCCATGGAACAAAGTCCTTCTTTAGAAACCAACAGAACGCCCAGCAACCAAATTTCCCACATTTTTCATTACTACCTTCATAGATCCCTACCCTGTGCCACACAAACCCAACTGATATCTCCTCATCTTAGGTCCTTAAGATCTATTTTAATGTTATCATCTCACCTAAGCCTAGGTGTTATGAGTGGTTTTCCCTTCAAGGTTTCCACCAGTCATTTTATATATACTTTCAACATTTTTTTTCTAATTTACATCCTGGTTCCTAACTTTTTTAGACCTAAATAAACCTTGGTGAGATCTGGCTACAGTAATTATAAAACTGCTTCTCTGTAGCAAAAAGAAATCTGAAATCAGTCTTAAGGAAACACACATGCAACTGACTGTACTGATAATTTACCTGCCACACCATTATGTGATCAATTTCCCCTGTGCTTAGGTATTTCCAGGTATCCCTGAAGTAGTACACTGCAGCATACAACAGGGGAGCAAACCCAAATATTATGATTCCTGTCATGTATCTCTGCATAGTTTTTACTCGGTTTTTCCGTACTGCTGAGAGTCCAAGAAATGAGAGGAGAAGGCTAATGCACCAGATGTACTCCCACCACAATGGCTAAAAACAAAATACTGTCAAGTTCAAATCCAAGATGAATCTCATAATACTTCTGCATGATAGGAAGAGAGGGTGGAAATAGCTTCGATACTTTATGTTTTTGTTACTCTGTATCCAGAGAAACCTACAAATGGGAATGGTTGTGTCTGTTTCTCCATATTTATCACTTGACAAATTACCAAATCTTGATTAAATTTGGCTTGCAGATGGCTGCCTTCTGGGATGTCACGCTGTGTAGTCTGGTAGATACTGACCAATGTTACAGAAGAGTCTACTGCCTTCATTATTAGGGTGATGACTACATGGTGCAACATCCAAGATGACAGCCATCTTCATACACACTGCTGTGACAACCTAAAACCTTAGGAATGAAAGTGGTCACACACTGTTTATGCTTAAAAAAGAATTACTACATTTCTCCTAAACAGCTCATCACTAAGAAAACAATGATACACAATAAAACACATCACATTAAAGATATATAACTGTTATTTAAATATTTTTGGGTATGATGCATACTTAACAGACTGCAAGACATGTAGGACTCTATGCAGTGCAATTTTTCTACTACCGATTAGTTCTATGGGCAACATGAGAACAGACTAACAATACTGCATTACAAGTTCTAAATAAGGCTGCGTCCTTATTACTAATCTGTCCTTTCAGTGGAAATGTAAAACTCGGAGGTTGCATGCAAAATAAAGGGGGACTGCCAGGAAATTACATTTTGATATAATGCACTAAAATGTAAGAATTATACTTTAAACAAACTTTTGTCTAAAAGCAAACAAAAGCCGTAAATGAGCTACATAACATACTGAAGATATACCTCTGGAACTTGCAATTCTTCTATTTCTAATATAAATATATCCAGACGATCAAGAATGTCTGCAGACAGCTTTGCCAACATTGCAAAAAACAGAAGGTAGTGGAAAAAAATGCAATATTTCAGTCGAGACTTGTTCAGAGCACTGAAACATAAAATATAAAACGCCTGTCACTACTGGTATGTAAAATTATACCTCCCAACAAAGATCTTTTAGGCCATGTGCTATAGCATAAAAGGAAATGTTTTCTGACAAGAACGTTACAGCTGCTGAAGATATTAAGGTAGGTGACATCCCGTGGTACAATTTTAGCTCAATTCTCATAATACATATTGATACCTCACCTTATTTGATACTGAGCAGCTATCCTTTGCCGATGAGCAAAATCGGTCCCATCTGTACCTACAGCAATAGGTCCGCCTTTAGATGCCATTACTTTATTGTGCCTGTGGACTTTTCGGCTAAAATATGCTACAAATATAAGGTACTGAGGTACTTCATACACCAATTGTACTGGGACAGGTTACTTGGGTTCAAAATCACCGAATTCTTAAACTAGATAAGACTTATCCTGTGATCAAGCCTATCATCGTGCCAACAACACTTCCCTTATCAAGGTGGCAGTGTATTTTGAGACTTGTTGGTGCTGCTCCTATAGGACAGTTTATGAACTCGTATTATACAGTCAGATGGTTCTTACGATATTTTAGTCTATTGTGCATATACATCCTTGAGAGTCACATTAATATTTCATTTACTTCGGAAATATTAATCCCGAATGGCTTAAAAGAAACTTTAATAATTATTATATTAATCTGACTTTGTGAGTGCTATTGATTCACTGTACCTAATCCGAAGGACAATAATCCTCTGTCGAGGGCCGCATCATTTCTTGCGTGATTGCCAACTTGCCCACAGTAAGAAGTTTGACATTTGGTCCTACGTTGCGAAATTGTAAACACCTGTAGAAAAGTTAGTGTGGTTTCTTATAATATTTTTCTTATTTAATGTGGTAATACATGTCTTGTATTATAATTGCAACAATTTGATTGTATCAGTGGGACTGTATAAATATTACGTATACAACCCAAGGATACCGAGGATGAGCTCAGCAGTAAATCAAATGAAATCAGAATATAATGAAATCGTATATAAATATATATTTAAATCCAAGTCAGGTGTCTTTATTTGGCATCATATTGTTCGTTAAAAGCGAATGTTTTCAAATTGAGATAAAATGTATTTCAAACATAAAGTAAACCTATAAAAATGCATAACACTGGTCCCAGTGCCACAGGCCAGCTTTTTCAAACGAGTGAAGAAATGACTCAGACGCTTGACGACTGGGAAAGCTGTAGCCTTCCGCGCGGAGATTTTAATTTCGGAAAGTAGTCCCCTCCTTCCTCAGTGTCGAAGTGTACTTTGTTATTAGGCTTACACTTACTGATTGGATTACAGTATCACGTGTGATAGTGAAGTGCGTGGATGTGTATATAGGAAAATGTATTCATTACTATGCCGTGGACGCGATTTTTGTTGTTATTGTTGCGGATGGATATATAAACTTTTTTCTCCTAACCTCCTTTCGCGCTATTGAAGTAGATATGCGAAATAATGGTGTGTGATGGAAGGTGGCTGTTTTATTTTAAACTTTTATCGCAAATTGGAGCAAGTTTTTTGAAATATATGTGGTCAAGCAAGTGATGGAAAGATTATGGTTTACGGTGGACTGGCTCTCGAAGAGTTTCGGGATAACGTAAGTAAGAGCTGGATGTGTTTGCAGCGGCGGGGTGTTGGCAGCGAGGAAGGTTCTGCCTAACATGGCTGCAACGCAAGCTGAAAGCCAACAAAATGAGGTGAATCGTGATCAAGTGCAGCAAGACCAGCCTCCAGATTTAAGTAATACGGTATTACAAAATGGAACAGAAAAGAGTGGTGGACGAGGAATAGTTGGATCTGATAGTATAGTTAACACAAAAACAAAGTCGCCCGGTCAAAACAGCCTCGCCATAGAGATGAGTCAATATCGACAAGAGTCTGGTGCAGGGCCTCCTATTCATAATAGTTCGGGAAATAGTGATCAAAACACGAATAACAGTGGTGTGGATAGCAATAAACTGAATTCTGATGGTAAATCGTATGTGCAAAATTCAGAACAAAGTGCGGGAAGTGAACAAAGTTATGGAAAAGGGTCAGACGGTGGACAAAACATGCAAGGATTTGGTTTAGGATTTTCCGCTAGAGGGAACTATCATCCTGACCAGCACGGTGTTGGAAATCCAGTGCAGAATAGTGCAGATAGTAGCAGTTTGCATCAAAATCACCCCTTTAGTCAGTTTAGCCCCCAAGGCATGAGGCATGGATTTCCAAGTTCTAAACCTATGCCAGGTAGTCCTATGGTACCGCCAAGACCTCCTAGTGCTGGACCCAATATGAATGCACCCAGTGGTGGTTTTTCATCCCATACTCAACCCCCAAGGTTATTTTCAGGACAAAGTATTTCTCAACCAACAGGACCCACCCCTACATTAAACCAGTTACTGCAATCCTCTAATCCAGCACATCGGTACCAAAACAGCTATGGGGAATATGGGATGCAGAAAGCGGGTGACCAAGGATCTGGGAATATGCCATATAACCAATCTTGGTCCCCACAGAGGCCATTGGCTTCCTACAGCCCACAGCAAGTTGCAACTGGATACAGAAATCAACCTCCCGTAAGTTGTGGTCGATTTGAAGCATGTTTCTTAGTTTAGACAGCTTTAATGACACTGATTCACAGGTTTGTTGCTATAATTGAGTGCACTGTTACACCTTTATACATTGAAAATATGATTTCATTACAAGAAGTATTGCATAGATTTTGTCTATGTAAGATATACATTGAAGTGGCATATGGTGTGCGTACATATGTATGTCTACAGAGTATTTTGATGTTTGGCTTGGACTATTGGGTTCAAATTAATCCTGTGCTCTTAATATTTCAGTTCCTGGTTACTTGTTCACTCTGTATTTCACATATGATGGTGTGTCGACAGAAATTATGTTTACATCGAATCAACAAAACAGTAATGGATGTTTTTACTTTTACTGTTAGAAGACTGCATACACCATCATTAAGTTAACTTCAATCTCCTAACCTCCATTAGGTAAAAGATCCTATGAGAAATAAGGAATTGGCATAGATTGGTTTCTGATTACATTTCCAGTTTTTTGTAAATTGATGTGCCAGATTTGAATGTTGAAGGAATTAGATATTGGAGATTTTATTCTTTACATACTGATAATTTCCTGCTTTTATTTAAATTTGTATGTCGTGATTCCTGAATTTCACAGGTGTTTAATGATTATCTACCGACCCGTATAACTTGTGGTTTGAGGTTGATGTAACTTTTGTGTTTGTGTATAGTAATGTCAGTAGTTGATAGAATTGGAGTGTGTAAGCACATGGCAATTAACGTAACTCTCTTGCTTAACTTCTCCAGTGACTTCATTCGGTCAATCCCATGAAAAACCTAACTAAGTTCAAACAGTTTAGCTCTATTTTGTGAATGTAAATTACTTTTGGTAATGTTTTTCATCGTCTCAGAAAGTTATATTTCTTCAGTTTGCTGCAGTACATTAATTGTTTTATGATCTGAATTTTAGGATTTGGAGTTTTCATGGCAGTGAGTCAGAAGTTGGCTGTCTTCTGGTTTGTTGCACTGTGTAGTCTTGTAGAAGTTTACCCATGTTTCAGAGGTTCTTGCTGCCTTCATCATCGCCCTGATGATGGAGGCAGTGAGGACCTCTGAAATGTCAGTAAACGTCTACCATACTACATGGCGCAACAACCCAGAAGACAGCCATCTGCATGGTCTGGATTGTTTATATGTTTGTTGAGGATAAAGTTCTTGTAATTCAGATGTTAAATTCAGGCATGTGTAACAGTGTTTTTTATTAGGAAATGAAAGGAACCTATCAAACTTTATATGCCTAAAAAGTGAGTTTTATATGAAAGAGTAACATTGAATAACTCCCATGTAAATGTTTACTTTTGCTTTGATTTTTGGTTGCCATGCAAGGCCATTTCAGATTCCACTGTGTATAATATTCTGCCAGTTTTAACTCTGATTTCCTTCATGACCTTCCACAATTAGTAAATTCAGAAAAAAACAGAATTTCTACAAACTTGTTTTTAATTTGAAAATTGGATATGTATTTCTTTCTGTATGTTAACATAAGTGATGCTTATAATCTCAAGAAAGCATGTAATAAAATATGTCTAGACAGGACTTTATTGCCAGGGATTATTGAAGTAACTAAAATCACTAATTTCTCTAAACTTGTTAACTAAAAGGTGTCTATTCATTTAAAATGTTTCTGTGATGAAATTTCAAATATTTCTCCATCTGTATTTTTCTTTCTTAACTTTACTGGCTTATGGGTGAGAGGAATGCAGTTAATTGTCTTATTTTGTCTCTGAGTGTTGAACAATAAAATTATGAAAATTTTAATTAAAACATATGGCACTTTAGTAATTTCATGCATTGTGTATCCACTCTTACAACACAAACAGGGGTATTTCAAGGAACCTACAGTAGCAGACATAAAATGTTGATAATTATTGAATGTTAGTTGGCAGGGTAAATTTTCCTAACAGTGGACAGTTATTTATTTTTTGTGGGCAGTTTGTGTGGTCGCTTTCGATTAAAGCAGTGGCTTATATCTTCTCAGCAGAGTGTGAATTATATAGTTAAACTGAACAGATCTGGAATATCATATGATGAAAGTAACATTGTTTTTTAGACAGTTGTTAAAAACAACCGTTTAATTACCGACAAGACACTTGTGATTCCTTGATTCTTCTGAACTCTTTGTAAGAACTGAGGGTGAAATACATTTCTACTTCATTATTTTCAAAACGTATAGTTTTTGTGTTTATCGTATTAGATGTACCATTTAATGAATATGCACTTGAATTAACTGGCAGATGAAAGTGTTTTTAATACCTTCATTAAATTTGTGTTCTCAAACTGCACTTTGCCTAGGACAAGCTTACGCTTGCATTTGGTTGTGTCAGGTGCCAGGGAAAAGTATTTGGAAAGAGGGGACCTGGCAGGCCAAGAATCTTCTGGCTTCAGAACCTAAAAACTTGGTTCTCGATGTCCACTGGAGGGCTGTTTCAAGTAGCAGCCAGTAAAGCTCAAATTGCAATGCTGATCGCCAACGTCCGGAATGGATAGGCACTTTAAGAAGACGAAGGTTATCCTTCGTGTGCTGCACTGCTATATTTACATTTAAGCTGAGTGATCAACACTTGCTGCTACATGAATTGTTTATCTGAAAAATATGAATTTTTATAAATTTTAAATCTTGGTATGAAGATAAATGATTTGTGACAAATTATGTATGTGCACATTGTTTATCAAAAACTGAAAGAAAAAGATAATAAGAAACCACAGTGCCCTGAACCTAGCAGTAAAGCTTATGAATCAGAATGTTAATAATATTGAAAACTCTGAAAAAAGAAAAACAAGTTTTAATGCATCATTAATTTTTTTTTAAAGTTTGTATTGGACATAATATGTTTTGGGATGTTGAACTGTGAATACTGACTTGAATGTTCACAGCAGTTGTTCTGTTCTTTGGTGGATATATTTCTTTTATTTGGTGTTCTGCCTTTGGATATAATGCCAGTAACATGTCAGAACATTACAAAAATTAGGCTGTAAGAGTTCAAATTCTATAAAACATGCATTGTTGTACTTGATTTGTTGATGCTCATGATGAGGGACTAAAGTGTTTAATTAGTGTATGATTTTCCTGTAACTGTACAGTACTTACTAGTTATTTCATGATGAAATTGGGTGGAGTAAGAAATTAAATAATTTAGAAACTAAATGAGTTGTCGATAGAAAATTTCCAGTTAAATGTGCTTAGTATTTTCCATACATTTCCTTTCATGGTGCTAACACATATTCTTCTTCTTCTTCTTCTTCTTATAAAGAGTTGTGACTATGTCATACAATTGTGTATGTGTTTCAGATACCGAACATTGACAGCTTTGCAAATGTTCGATCCATTTGCGGCATTGTGTGGTAATTGTAGTTATGTATTTATAGGTGGTCTGTATTCTTGCACATGATTTACGGTAATAATGGATTTTTTCATGGAATTCATGTTCAGTGACTTATAGAATAATTTTATTTAAATTCAGGCCATTTACTATTCTTTTTTTTATATAAAAATTGTTGGTGCTTTGCACATTATTTGCTTGTTTTTGTATTAAAATGTGGTAGTAGTTCTTTTTTTCATTCTGTTACTTTCTGCATACAAACTAACTTCATGGAGCAGGTTCCTTCTTGAAAAGCTGATAGTCATTCAGCTATTACAGAAATTTCTTGTCCTTTATGGAATCCAGAGGTTCACCACTTTGTTTACAAGGGCCCTCTTGTGTATAGCATGTCTGAGAAAATAAATTGATAACTGATTATGTAAAGATTTCTCTTCTGGGTTTTGTGCTCTGTAGTCTGGTCGATGTTAACCAATGTTTCAGAGGTCATACTGCCTCCGTCATCAGGGCGATGATGACGGAGGCAGTATAACCTCTGAAACATTGGTTAACATCAACCAGACTACACAGCACAACAACCCAGAAGACAGAAATCTTCATACTTACTGCTGCGAAAACCTCAAATCTTACAACTGAGTATGTATTATCATCATAATCATCATTGATGTCTGAACATTCCAAAGGGTGAGATTACTTTTTAATAGGCCTCAGTTACAAGCACAGTGTTCGTACTTCAGGCTGTCGCCATATCGGGAGTTCATTCCTGTATATTATACCAATAAACCACAATGAGAGGACAGGAGAATGCACATGTTTATGACAATCTTCAGGCCGTCTTTATTTGAAGTGAAGCAGCATTTTTGTGTTTAGAATTTTATTCTGAAATGATAGAGCTGCTTGACTTTGTGATGCTCATAAATAGTATGGTTCAGTGTATTCATATAATTCTGTAAGTAAAAATGTGAGGAACCGTGAGTAAAGAAATTGTTAAATCATATAAAATTGAACAGTATTAGAGAACGTTGATTTTATTCCTGTGGTTACTGCTGCCTGGCATGATATAAATATGAAGGATTGTTGTCTGCGTAGTGCCAGGTTGTTACTGAAATTGACAAAGGAGTGTTACATAAACAAGAAACTCTGAGCAAATGTCTTATTTCTTTGTGACACTTTCAGATTCTTGTGGAATATTACAAAATTTTATGACATGAAAATTAGACTTGTCAACTGATTTATAATTTGAGTTTCTGTATCTGCAGTGACTTTTTGGGTAGTTTAAACTTTGGTTTTTTTGGAACAACTCAGAGAACACAGTGTTGCCTGTTTTGTTGATACTGTGTTATGATAGCGATTGAGGGACTGTGGTTATGATTTTCTGTACAAAGGAATTCCTACAGCAGTGCAGACAGTAGATGACAAAAGAACTGTTTAAATTTGTATATAGACATCTATATGTAAAATGTAAGGGAGAATTAACATAAAACAAGCGACATAATCTGCATTAGAATAAGGTGGATTACAGGGAAAGGTCTCGGATTTGTTTCAAATTGGAAGCTGAGTGCATTTGTTCACGCTTTTACCTTTTCTCACTTCTGACCAAGGTTCAACTTTGTGAATATTGGGAGTTATCATGTTTCAAATATGGATCTTTCTAATGTTTAT